AGCGGTTTAGTACAACAAAACAAATGTTATCATCTCATGTCCGAGTGTAAGTACTGGCAGCGAAGTGCCAAGTAGCCTTTCTTCTTCACCCTGGCTGACCTATCCCTTCAATGACAGATATACGACAACTTCACCTATCTACTATTCAATCAGTGGCTCTAGATCAAAACTACTCTGGACTACACGGGATCTGACTTGGTGATATATAATTAAACCAAGTGATAGATAAATTCTTGCAAATGAAAACAGAAACGAGCGAAGTATCTTTTGGAAGCTCCTTGCCTGAAGAGACTATCTTGTCTAACCACATATGTTGGAAGGAAAACTCCCCCCAGCACTCCTGCATTGCAAAGCTAGTCCCCATAGCACAGGGATAGCTGAGAGCTACAGCATATCAGGCCACGTAAGCTCCCTCAGAGACCCACAGACGCCACTCATGTCTGAGGATCACATCTACAAAGGGTACAAGGGGAATCCTGGACTTTCTTTGCTTGCTGCTAATTAGCTTTTTTGTTTCTTGTTTTCTAGGTGTCTCATCTTCCCCCATACCTTCTATATCTTCTTCTCTCTCTCTACTTTTTCTTGCCCTCATTCCCCTTTCAGTCTACTGCTGCCATGTTCCTATGAACCCATGCCATCCTTAGTTCCACCTAAGAAAGTTATACACAATCCCTTAATGGCAGTTTCGTCCTCTATAGTCTTCATAAAACACAGTGTTTTAGGGATAAGGATGATCATGGTGTTCAACAAGTTAGCTGGTCAGCTTATTTGCTGTTCAGTGCCCCGCTTAGCTGACCTTTCTCAAGAAAGTTTATTTTTAATAATTAATACTACCGTCTTGTTAGCACATACATGGTGATACAGCAATTTTGGGATCACCGTCGTTGTCCCCTGTTTTCATATACTGCAATCCCTGCAACGAAGAGCCACAGAGAGCAATAGCTGTTTCCTCTCCCCCTCATGGAGACAGCTGAACCGGCCACCCTCCTGACTAGCTTTGTGCCCAGGCCTGAAGGAACAGCCTGGACCCCATCACCTTTGCTTGTATCGGATAACGCACCTCAGGGCAGATCTAAACTTTCCAGGGCAAGAGCTGGTTTTGCACCCGTGCAATGGAAGGGCGCTTCTCGCTGTCACTCGTGTCTGTGCCTCGCCTGCGTGACCTCTCTGACACCGGCACCGACCTTTACGACCCCGCTGGGTGCTTTTTTCCTCACAGAAACCCCACGCATCTACAGACCGACGACCTGTGCCACACGCAGCGCTGACTAAAAGGGAAGAACAAGGGAAAGGCGTCACGGTCGTGTGCCCCCCTGCCACGGGCGCTACCTCTCTGCCTTGCGGAGGCCGCCGGCCCGGTACCTCGGGCCGGGATCCCCTCTCCCCTCAGCGGGGTACCCGGAGA